GGCAGAAGATTTCATAGTGCTTCTTCATTCTGCCACACTGAACCATGAAGCCACATGTTTAGGTAGTAGCATGGTAATGTTCTAGTTTCTAAAAAACTAACATAAATAAAGCCATCCTGCCAACCTGTGTTGTATAGGCAGCATAAGGACATCATCTCCTTTGCTGTTTTAAGGGTTATTTCTTTTTGCAACATAACCTAGCCTATTCTGACTGATGTAAGAGGGAAGTTCCAAGTGAACGTTATTAAAAGACAGTCCTATCTATAAAAATATGGGGCTTTTTTTTTTTAAATAAAAGGACTCCAGTACATGTAAGCGAGTACCTGCCCATAATAAGTACTCCCTACAGCATATACGGGTGTGTACATAAATACATAATGTATAAATGTTAATTATGAAGTAACACAAAAAATTTTTTAAAACACATTTTTTTAATTTTATGTTATAAATATTTTACTTAACACATAATTTTATAGCACCTCCTATGTGCCAGACATGGTTGTACATGATTTATAAAGGTTTACTCATCTAATTCTCATAATGGCCTTATGAGATAGATACTATCATTATCGCCTTTTCAGATGGGTAAACTGACACGCTGAAAAACTGAGTAACTTGTCCAAATCCCAAATAGGTAGTAAATGCTGGAGGTAGACAGCTGGTTCTAGAGTCTCCGCTTTACTTATTTTTTATTTTATTTAACATTTTCTCAAATGCCTTATTTTTTTTGTTGTGCTATGTTCAGTTTATTGTATTTATGTCTTTTTTTTTTTTTACAAATAGTTTATTGTCAAATTAGTTTCCACATAACACCCAGTGCTCATCCCCACAAGGGTCCTCCTCTATGCCCATCCCCCCTCCCCCCCACATCCATCAGTCCTCAGTTTTTGTCAGCATTCAAGAGTCTCTCATGGTTTGCCTCTCTCCCTTTCCCCCACCATTTCCCCCCTTCTTCTCCCCCTTGTTCCTCCGTTAAGTTCCTCCTAATCCTCCTATATGTGCAAACATATGGTATTTGTCCTTCTCTGCCTGACTTATTTCGCTCAGCATAACACCCTCAAGGTCCTTCCATGTTGCTACACATGGCCAGAATTTCATTGTTTCTCATTGCCATGGAGTATTCCATGGTATAGATAAACCACATCTTCTTGATCCATTCGTCTGTTGATGGTCACTTAGGCTCTTTCCATGTTTTAGCTATTGTGGAGAGTGCTGCTATGAACATTGGGGTACATGTGCTCCTATGCATCAGCATTTCTGTATCCCTTGGGTAAATTCCTAGCAGTGCTATTGCTGGGTCATAGGGGAGTTCTATTGTTAGTTTCCTGGGGAACCTCCATACTGTTTTCCAGAGGGGCTGTACCAGTTTACATTCCCACCAACAGTGTAGGAGGGTGCCTGTTTCTCCACATCCTCGCCAGCAAAATTTTTTAAAACACATTTTAACTCACATTCGGAAATGAGTTGTGACCTTATAAACAATCCCCTTAGAAGGCCATGTCTTTGAAGCAAAGACACGTATTCAGAGCTTGTCTTTGGGAATTATGTCTTTGGGAATTATTATCTATTAATTAATAGATAATTAATTATTATCTATTATTAATTAATAGAGTATACCAACTATGGAAATCTTCATTATTTGGAGGGAAATTTTTATTTTTTTAAGAGTCAGAGGTCATTTGGAACCAGGTCTGATGGGATATGTAGGTGACTAAGGTAGGTTGCATTACCATTATTAAAAATATCAAAGGGTCTGATTCTGTGGGCTTAGGCCTCTCTCTCTCTCTTTTTTTTTTTTTTCAGAGCTCATCATTTTTCACTAAAGGCCTTTCTAAAAGATGAGTTCTAAAAAGATACAAGGTCTCTTGTCTGGGGAATCTCAAATTGTTTCATAGTTCTAGAATCATAACTAAATATTAACCTCTGGAACCTTCTTGGTCCCTACATTTGTGGTCATTAAATGGATGCAATATGATTGGATCCATGGTTGGGTGTTCTTCACTGAACACATTAGAATTAAGCATTAGAAGCTTACTAAGCACATTTACTCTCAGACTATAAAACCATAAAAACAGTTGACTCTGATGGATAAGAACCTACCCAAGAAGGATTTATTAGAGATGGACAGCTGAGGATTATCATTTTCATTTGTGCTCTGGACTGAATTGTGTAACCCCCAAATTCATACATTGAAGCCCTAATCCCTAGTGTGGCTGTATTTGAGCCGTTAAGGAGGTAACTAAGGTTAAATGCAGTCCTAAACAAGGGGTGTTAATCTTACAAGGCTCATGTCCTTATGAGAAAAGGCACCAGAGCTTACTCTGTCTGCAAACCACAGAGGAAAGGCCATGCGAGGACACAGTGAGCAGGTGGCCGTCTGCACGCCAGGAAGAGGGCCTCACCAGGAACTCTGTTGGCTGCACCTTGATCTTGGACTTCTAGGCTCCAGAACTGTGAGAAAATAAATGCCTGTTGTTTAAGCCAACAAATCTGTGATATTTTGTTATGGTGATCTGAGCAGAGTATTCTAGTTTATCTGTTTGCTGCTTTGTTGGTTTATTGCTGTTACTATTTAGATTGCCACCCTGTACGCATGTCCTCTTCCTTAACTGGTAATGATTTTCATTTGGTTGTCCACCACCCCCAGACAGCCAATGTGATTCAAGAAGGAACCGAGAGCTCAGGCATTAAAAATCAGCAACTCTACACCCTTCCCACAGTGGTTGGTTCAAGGATTGGCCTGTAGTCTGATCAAATCCAAGCCTTGGATGTCTGCATGAAGGGTGACATAAGCAATGTTTTGTTTCCTGCAGGATGGGCATCTGGAAGGATCTAGCAACAGGAGTGGATTGAAGTCATCTTTGCTACAACCGTGAGAGAAACGTGTTATTTCCAAGTTGAGCCAATCCAAGGGAAGAGAGCCAAAAGATGGATCTGGATCACAGAATTTAGGCCTTGGACCAAGCCATATCCAGAGCTTGGGATATTTATTGTTCAAGATATTTGCAACCATAACACGCTAAATTAACACAGGGATGGTGTTGCTGCAACCTAACTGTCAGTCAGTCCTGCACCCCCAAAGGTGGGAGTGAATGGATGCCCTATTCTGGAGTTCTCTCATGTACCCAAGTTGTACTACCCTAAGCGACAGTTGGACAGGCTTGTTATGGAGATGTAAATGTTCTGCTCTCCAATGGCGTGTTTGACAGGATGAAAGGCTTTGTGATTTCAATGACTTTGACTCCACTGGAGATGGGGGGGATAGCCTATTTTAGCAATTTGCATGGGCATTAATAGACATATACTTTAGCTATTCAAATATTTAACTAGCTCTTTTGTTGGTGTTTTGAATCCCAAAAGGCTGCAGCTGCCTGTTTGTGTCTGTTGTGCCTTTAAGGGGCTTGCTGATTCAGTAGGATCCCTTGAATGCATTAATTAGCCTTCCCTCATTTTCCCAGCCCCTGCCTATGAAGAAATGAGCATTTCCAACTCCAACTGCGGAACGATGTTGAGTCTTGAGGGTACCAGCTAAATGGAGGCTCAAAATTGCCTGCCTTGTGATGGGCAGTTTTATGCCGCCAGCAGCCTTCATGGCAAGGCTTGCGCGGCTGCATGATTAATTTATTGGCTATCACTATTGGCAGGCAAATGAAACACAGGCCCCGGATTAAAGCGTCATGGGGGAAATGGGGCATTAATCAGCCCAGGTACCTGAGTCAGAAAGACGTAAGGATCCAGAGAAAATAAAATGTTATGGAAGGCTGGAAAATGATTTATCATCTTTAATATATATCATCCAAACCCACTCTATATAACTGCTCGTAGGCCTCCAGTTATAAAGACTTGGACAGGAAAACACCCCTTCCTTAAAACGCCTGAAGTAAAAGATGCTGGTGGGGCAAATAAAGAAACATGAAGAATGAACTGACTGTAAAAGAAAAAAAAAAAAAACTGTTTGGCTTAAAATTAAATTTCCACTCATTTCTTTTTACACAATTTAGAAATACAGCTCTGGCTTAGAGAAACTGCTTTCTATCAGTTAGGTGGAAGAGAAGCTGAAAGTCCTGTTCGAGAGGGCCAACATCTCAGGTCTTTTTTGAAGTTCTTATACTGTGAGAAAACGTACTTTCAGAGCATAAGCTGTGCGTGGCAGGCTAACTTGTTAACCCAACAGACTAAATCGTTGTTCACTGAGAAGCTGGGAGCTGGAAGGGTGTTCTGTACAATCAAGCATTCTCTATTCTTGGATGTTAGCAAAAATAAAGTCTAGGGCGCCTGCGTGGCTCAGTCACCTGGGCATCGACTTTGCCTCAGGTCACGATCTCGCAGTTTGTGAGTTCAAGATCCAGGTTGGGCTCTGTGCTGACAGCTCAGAGCCTGGAACCTGTTTTGGATTCTGCCTCCCTCTCTCTCTGTCCCTCCCCTGCTCACGCTGTGTGTCTGTCTCTCAAAACTGAACACACGTTAAAAAAATTTTTTTTAAAGAATTAAGTCTAGATGGAGATGAAAAGTGAGTGGAAAGAGACATCCCTTCCTCCATTCACAGCTACTATTCTTCTTTGGGTTTTTTCAACCCTAGAAATTAGAAGAGCCATCTTCAGGAAGGCTCCCCTTTCTGTAATGGGCAGAAACAAACAGCAAGTGTCCCTTTGCATCTGCAACACTTTACAGCTTCTAACAGCAACTGTTTTTCTCAGTTCCCCTTTGGAAATGTCAGGTGTTTCTAGCAAACAGGCAGAGAAAGACTGAGGACTTAAGCGAGTTACCCAGATACATCAGGAACTTAGGGGATCTGTTGTCTACTTCTTTATTTTACCCCTTTTACAAAAATTCTCCAATTTGGTCGGAACACAGGAGGACTGTGCTGTGTCTATAAACATAGAGCCCATTGCTTATTTTTGCAAATAATGAACCATCTGTGGCTGGACAAATGCTAGATAAAAAGGGCCAGGACCCCCACCCCCGGTCCAGGCGCCTCCACCTCTTAGGACAACAGCTACCTTGGTCTACTGGAGCCTCCCCTTCATTTTGCCTCCTCCAGTCCATCCCCCAAGCTGCGGCTGGAGAGCACTTTCCAAATTGCCACCTGTCTTCGTCCCCCATCCTTACTTAAAACCAACCGAGGGCTCCATCTCATCACCTTACAGCCCAAACTCCTAATCTAGGTCTTGGCCTCAACTTACTTTTTGATTCTTCTCTACTAGTCTCATTCTCTCGTCTTGTGTCCTAACAATGGAGATAGGAACTGGGAGCCCATGCTCACCTTGGGCTGTCTTGTCTCTGCATCTTGACTCCATGTCTCTGCCAATGTCAATCTTTCCCTCAGTTTTTCCTATCCTTTGCTACTCAAGAGTCACCTCCTCCAGGATGCCACCCCAAGCAATTCGGATTGGACTACATGTTTCTCCTCTTTGCTCACATAAAACTCTTTGTAGGCCTTGATTATGGCCATGTATTGTAATGATCTTTTCATTGATCTTTGTCCTCAACTTGATTATAAACTCTTCGTGCAGAAGCTTCTAGTTTTTTAAGTGTCCATTCCCACTCAGAGTCTGGCACAAAGGCTCCATCCTCTGCAACAGGTCCAGGCAGGGCTGAGGCATTGCACTGCACCCTGACTGGAATTACACAGCTCAGAGCAGGGCCAGGCTACATATGGCCCACAGTAGAGAGTCACATATTTGAGTCTAGCTCTGTCTTCAAAAATCTACCAGTCAGTCCATAAGGCCATAGGCAGTGAGGGACAATGGATAGACGCCTCTATGTTAGGAGATTTACAGGGGGCTTGTGGGATCCTGCAGTGGAAGGGGAGGCTATGAGAACGAGGCATGGTATAGGAGTCATGACTTTTCTACTTCCCAAGCTTTTCTGATCACCTCCAGGTACCACCAGTGCTTGGCTATTGTAGATCCAGAGATTCAATCCATCCACTAAAAATGTTTAGATTGAAAACCTACTGTGTGTAGTATTATGGGAAGGGTTAGTATTTATGGAGTTCTTCCTATGTACCAGGCATCTTATTAGATCCTCACAATGACACCACCAAGTAAGTATTATAATCCCCATTCCTAAGGTGCAGAGGAATTCAGTGATCATCAGGTCATACAGATAGGAAATGGAGCAACATCAACATGTAGTCAAAAATTAGAAATGGGGTCACCTGGTGGCTCAGTCAGTTAAGTGACCAACTTCAGCTCAGGTCATGATGTCATAGTTCGTGAGTTTGAGCCCCTCATCAGACTGTGTTGACATCTCAGAGCCTGGAGCCTGCTTCGAATTCTGACTCCCTCTCTCTCTGTCTCTCCCATTCTTATTATCTCTCTCTCTCTCTCTCCCTCTCTCTGTCTCTGTCTCTCTCTCTCTCTCAAAAATAAACAAACATTAAAAAACTTAGAAAGGCCAGAGCACAGAGATAATCAGAGGGTCACCCAAGTACATACCCTCTCCCATGCATCCAGACACTCGTGACCTTCAGTACACTTCTGGGAAAACTGGGTGTTGGTGGTCTAAAGTCTCATAAGACCTTTGTATTGGCCCTTGAAATGGGTCTAGAACTCAGTTATCCAGCTATTCTCCCAGATGTTCAACAAGGTCTAGTCCCCAACCCCCTCAATTTAGCCTAAAGGAACCAAAGGTTCTAATCAGTGCTGCCAGATGGTGATGCCAGACCATGGACAAAGTGCAAGTTCAATTCTCACATGGCAGAAAACTCAATATTCACTGGAATCAGGGGTCCAGGGAGAGAGGAGGCTCCCATGGGCATGCAGGTCACCTCTTGATAACCCACAGTGTGGCCAACAAAGCAGTATTATGGGTGGATGACATGGAGAGGAAGATCCAGAGCCAGAACCTCAATCCCAAACACTTAGTCAGATTCTAGTACTCCTGAACTGGAGGTGAAGTCTTGAGGGAGATCAACAACTCAGGCCAAGCATCTCCCTTTGTGCTCAGAGCTGATTTTATTGGGTCATCCAGAATACGGATGGCATTCACACATGGTGCCTTAAAGATAGAGCCTACCATCTGATCATGTAAACATATGTTTTAAGATGACCCTGGAAGTCATGGAGAGAATGATTTGCAAGGGCAGGACTTGAATCAGTAAGGTGATGGGCTCAGAGGCCACCACCATTGATGGAGAAGGTCAAGGGTCTCTTCACATGGAACATGTTGCATCTCCAAGTATGCTCAACACCCAGACTAAGATTGCTCGGTCCTTTCCTGTGTGTAACAGCTGTAGTGGAATGTAAAAGTGGCTGCAAATGAAAACAAGGTTTAAGAGGGATGCCAGATTCCATTGTGTCATCAAATTTATGGGGAAAAGGATAGATAGTTCTGCCTGCTGCTTCAGTGTTTTGTCTCTAGGATGCAACACACCTCCACATGTAGAAACATCTGGCCACTAAGATTTTCACTTTCAGTGCAGCACTTCCCATCACCTAGCCCTGGACCTTGTTGTCCCCCAGATTCAACCTATGATAGTCATTCCTTCACTCATTTATGCACCAAATATTTATTATGATGAATTATTTTTTAATTTTTGATGTTTATTTATTTTTGAGAGAGGACAGAGAGAGAGTGTGAGTGGAGGAGGGGCAGAGAGGGAGACATAGAATCTGAAGCAGGCTCTAGGCTCTGAGTTGTCAGCACAGAGCCTGATGCAGGGCTCAAACTCACCAGCCGTGAGATCATAACCTGAGCCAAAGTCAGACGCCCAACCGACTGAGCCACCCAGGCGCCCTGAATCATCTTAAGACAAGTGAACAAAATGGACAATTCCTGCCATCAATGTAGCTTACGTTTCGTGGAAGAGATGGGTGACCAATAGCAACAACAAGAAAATATGGAGGAAAATATGGAGCACATCTGCTAGTGATTAAGGCTCTGAAAAGAAGAAAGTCAGCAAAGAAGACAGGGACAGTCAAGTGGGAGTAAGACTGCAAGTTGATAAATGATCAGGGAAAGCCTCCCAGAGGTGATGTTTGAGCAAGGACCTGAAGGAGATGAGAAGAACATTCTAGAAAAAGAACCACACATACAAAGGCTGCGGACAGAGAGAGTACCTGAGGGAGTAATCTAGGAGAGAGGCCAGGGAGGCTGGGGCCAGGTGAGCAGCATCAGAGGGAGACCAGAGCAGTGGGATTCTAGATGTATTTTGAAATTAGAGTTGGCAAGGAGTTGGAAAAGGGAAGAGCGAAGTCATAAGGACCCACAGATTTATTGAGGTGGGCTCGACCCTGGAAGGATCTAACAGCTCAGGGCTCTGTCTGGACTTCTGGACATGACTACTAAGTGTAAGATGTCAAACAGACATCCAAGTGGAGCTCCTGAGAGATGGCTGGCCATGGAAGTCTGGAATTTAGAAAAGACGTCTCCACCAGAAATCAGATTTAGGCAAAGTTACCATTTAGATGGATTCAGCCTTAAGACTGGATAAATCCCCAAAAGAGGGTATGCCACCAGAGAAGGGAAAGGCTCAGATACTGAGCTTGGAGCTCAGCAATGGGGAGAGGTAAAAAGCTTCCTCTGAGGTGGGAGGAAAAAAAGAGAATGGGGCATCCTGGAAGTCAAGGGCACAAAGTATCTGAAGAAGACAGGAGAGGCTTGCCAAGTGCTGCTAATGGCCAAGGAGGGTAAGAACTGAGAGTGAGCAGGACACTCACAGTGGTGATCATGAAGAGAACTCAAGAGAAAGGGGGACAGGGGGATTGGATAAAGGGAGGGGAGCTCTTTCCAGGAGATCCCTGCAGAGAGATCATGCAAAGTCACGACAAGGCAAACAGACAGGGGTGGTGGCTCCCCAAGGGCTCTCTTCTGCCACATGGCTTTGATTTTCTCAGGGCAACAAGAATCAGGGCAATGAGCTAAGAGTGAGTTTAGGGGAGGAGGAAATGGGGAGATACATAGAGAAAGGAAGGGAGGGAGAGAGGGAAAGTGAGGGCTTGGGTGCAGTACCGCAGAGGGGGTGCTCTGAGGTGCCTGTGCTGTGGAGTAGTGGAGTGAGCCCACGTGGCTGTTTGCCAAGAAAGGGGCAAAGACACTCTGAGTAATTACAAGGGAGTGATGACGGCCAGTGACCATGGAATCAAAGTTAGACAAAGTGAAGGGAAAAAGGAAAAGAAGAAAAGGAGTTGATGTTTATGGTCCAGAAAGGTCAAAGGACTGTTGGCTTGCACCAGGGTAGCAGGGGGAGCAGAGAGTGAGCTGGAAACAAGATCTGAGAGGGAGACTCTTGACATAAGGGGGAGGTTGGTCATGACAAGGCCAAGTTGCTGTTCACGAGAGAAGGACTGCAGCAGGTCAGAGGGTGCATTTCTCTCAAAGGACCAAGCTTAGTAAGGACGTGCTGAGTATATTTCCTAATTGGTGAGAATAGTCAACAAAGAGATCTTATTTTTATTTCCAAGGTCTTTAAGAAGGAGGAAAGGAAGGGAGGAAGCGAGAGAGGGAGGGAGAGAGGGAGGGAAAGAGAGAGACATTGGCAGCAAAATGAACCACTTGATCACATCATATTTCTGAAAGTAGAGCTTGAGAAAAAGTAACCAAGAAACCGGCGCCCCATAGTTTCAGGGTTTACCAACGTCCTTCATCCATACTTCTAATAAAGAGCAGCAATTTGTCTGCATTTCACAGACACCCTCCATGTGCTGGCAGCCTCCCGCACCAGCCTGTGTGCAGGGATTAGGAGGAAGGCGGCATAACTCCTGCACAGCTCAGTGGAGAAAACCGGCAGGCACGCTTGCTCTGTGTCTGCCGGAGGCTCTAGAATCAGCTCCACATCGTAAAAGCTAAGCCTTGGCCAAATGAGGCACAGACCTGGGCGTGGAGCAAGCACTCCATAAATATTTGGTGTTGACCAAATGAAGAAGCTGCCACTGCTCTGGATCTTAGGCGGAGCAGAGTGAGCCCCAGGGTGTGCCTGCCTTCAGGACAAGGTCAGACTGCACCAGACCCCACCCGGGTAAGGGAGGTCCCAGGGCTAGGAGTCTGAAGCCCCAGGGTTTTGTTCTGATTTCCACCCAGTCCACAAACAGTTAGAGAACAACTATTAGGTGCTTGGCTTTGTGCCAAGAACTGAGGTGTTGCATGGAAATCAGCAGGTG